TAAAAATTATAATAGAATTAAATATATACATCTTCATTGCAGTGCCAAAAAAAAATCAAACCTAAATGTAAAAAATTTAATTCTAATATAAAATATTAAAAATAATCTTCATTGCAATGCAAAAAAAATAAAAATATCCATATATTTTAGGAAGAGTGTCATGATATTTTGAGGGGGGCCTGAGGCATAAATTGTTTGAAAACCCCTGATGCGGAGTTCAGCCTAACACCAACCCCTTTTGTTTTTGAATGATTAACACATTCATTGAGCATTAACTTCCAAAAGCTCAAAAGTGTAAATATGCAAATGGCTCAAAGGAGCAGGCATTACAGAGAAGGATCTGCAAATAAAGACTTGACCGTTTAAAACACAAGCCCACTACTCAGTCAAGCCTCTGCATTGTTTGAAGCTGATTCAGCTGTCCGTGGCTTCAGGGACTCTTATTAGCAAGTGAATCAATTAGCATGTCAATGGGCTTGTTGAAGGTCTCCAACACCTTTTTGATGGTTGAAAGTGTGAGTCAGAAGAGCTGAACCTCCTGCGGATAGGCAGAAACACAGCCACCCCCATCAAGACTGAAGACGAGCCAATCCAGAGGGTGATGAAGGCCCGAAAGAATGAAACCCAATGAAGACTGTTAAACTGGCTGGCTGGTTTTAGCTGGTCTGAAGGCTGGTTTTAGATGGGTTCTGACCACTTCTTTAGCTGGTCAGGCTGGGAGACCAGCTTAAACCAGCTAAGATCAGCCAACCAGCTTCGGCTGGTTTTAGCTGTTTTGTTTTCCTGCCCAGTAGGCTGTATTATCACACAGCTAAATAAATAAACAGTAATCATTTTTACTAAGATTTTATGTTTTAGTAATTTTATGTTTTTGCCATTTTTAGAAGCTCTTAAGAAAAAGAAATACAAAGAAATAGTTTGTTATATATATTTTATTTTAAGTAACAAAAATGCTTTTCATTGTTTTAATTTTAGTTACAGTTTTAGTTAACTATAATAATCCTGCTACCTGATTTTTTATTTTGTTGCAACATATTGCACTTTTTCTATCAAGTCGAAAGTTCAAATTAATTCGCATTTATACAACATGCGATATATACTATATAGCAACTTTCAACTGTGATTGCTTGCATTTTCGTAAAATAAAAACTATATTAGTTTTAATTTGCAAAAGGTGGCTATTAAGCATGAAGATATTAAGATATAAACATTAGCATGGTGACTGCCTGTGAAGTTGCTTTGAAACAATGTATTTTCAATAATACCGAAAAACAAGATTAAGTTCGAAAAATAAGAAAGCTGTGAAATGCTAATATTTGTAAACATTGCACTGATGTGTTTAACTTTGTTTCTATGTTTTTATTTCTTATCTTATTTTTATCTGTATTTGTAAATCTTTAAAACCATTTTTAAGTAAAATCGCAAGAATGCGTCGTGCGTAAGTTACACTCTAAAAAATGCTGGGTTAAAAAGGGGACAAACCCAGTGATTGGGTTAAAAAGGGACATAAACAAGGGACACAAACCCAGCGATTGGGTTAAAAAGGGGACAAACCCAGCGATTGGGTTAAAAGGGGGACAAACCCAGCGATTGGGTTAAAAGGGGGACAAACCCAGCGATTGGGTTAAAAAGGGGACAAACCCAGCGATTGGGTTAAAAAGGGGACAAACCCAGCGATTGGGTTAAAAAGGGACATAAACAAGGAACACAAACCCAGTGATTGGGTTAAAAAGGGGACAAACCCAGCATTTTTTAGAGTGTATGCTCTCGTTAAAACGTTTGTTCACACAGAACACGTTTTTGCGGCGTTCTAAAAACCCAGCGCTTTACAATAAAAGAACGCATCTATATACCTAGTGATTTTTAATCCACTGTCCTGCTCCTCGCGGTGTATAAACGCACAACGTTCTGTGTGAACGAGCCCAAGCCAGTCGGAGGTGAAAGTTGTGACTGAACTCAAAAACACTTGAAGAGGCTAGGATGATAAACAAGAGTCAGTCATGAGCTCAACTCTTTCCACTGCTCCAGGCCCACAATCTCAAGCGCTGTAGCACAGGGTGATAAAGCTGGCAGGGGGCACCAAGCACGTCCCATCCCCCTTTAAACTCCGGCCAAATGGCCAAAAAAAGAGTGCAAACTCAAAACAGGAAGTTTCAACATCTGTCCCCCTCCTCCCTGCAGGGAGGGAAACGAATTAACAAGAAATCACTCCCAAAATATGCATCTGATTATCAACATCCAATTTCAACAAACAAACCCTTAGGCTTTGGTGAAACATTGACTGAGCTTGATTTGAAGGAACAGTGGAGTTCAGATCAGAGTGGAGCAAAGGTGCACGACATCAAATGAACTGGATCTGCTTCTGTTAGGACGCATTGGGGGATTTAGCGGAAACATGACAAAAATCACATTCATATGCAGGTGATAATACATCATCTCACATTTACAGACAGACGGAACTGGAATACAAAGTTTGCTACAATTTCAACTTCAATTAAAAATTGGTTTGAATAAACATGATGTTTAAACTTCAGCAAAAACACTTGTATTTTTGCTCATAATTCTAATCAAAGTTCTAATTTAGTAGGCTACTGATTTGATTTCGTGCAATAAAATGCAAGCGCAAAAGCAGACCGTTCTCAACACAAAAACGATGAAGGAAACCCCAGGAAAAGAAGAGCAGGAAAGTCTTACCTGCGTGTGTAAATGCTGTGAGGAGGACGGACATCAGCAAAAGATGAGCTCCAGGTGTAATCCTCAGTAAACACATCCTTACAGCGAGCGTTGCTCTGATGCACTGCACTCGGGAACCAGACCTCGACTTCTGCGCGCTGCGGCTCAAGTGTGCAGGGAACGAAACGCTTTCTGGAGGTTCGTCTGCGGAAGAATAGCGCGTTTCATCCCGCTCTGTCGAGAGCTGCTCGTCGACCGCCGCTGATCCCGTTCAAGCGTCCCGAAAGTCTCCTGGTGGAAAAGCGAGCGAGTAACTCCAGCTCCTCGGGACGTAGGACGGATCCATCCCGAGGGAGGGAAGCCAATTTCCGAATTCTACTCCGACAAAGGCGCCGCTCATGAATATTCATGACACGCAGTCATCAGGACCGCTTGATTGGCTGAAACGCAAACGTTGATTGGCTAATGAATATTAAAGAGGTCACGTGTCCCGACGCTCCACGAAGGTGAGCAGGAATTTCTAGGCACAGCAGGATTGGTGATTTGGGAAGGAGACTGGAAGTTTGACAAGCTTGAAAAAACACGACTCCTACTGGTGACAAGGTTTGAGATTTTATATATATATAAATAAAAATAAAAGGCAAGTATACATCAAATTCATCAAAAGTGACAGTAAAGGCGTTTATATTCTTATAAAAAAATATATATTTAAAATAAATGCTGTTCTTTTTAACTTTCTATTCATTAAAAAATCCTGGAAAAAAAAAGGAATAAGCCTCCAGCTGTTTTTAACAGTGATAAGAAATGAGCAGCAAATCAGCATTGTATGCCCTGAAAATCATGATATATAAAAATAAAGAAAAATCAGTTTTTTTTTTATTATTGAACAGTTTAGTGAACCTTTAGACAAAATCAAAAAAAAATAAAAGCGGCCTAAAATGACCAAAAGTGGCCAAACAGTAAGATGAAATTCGGATATAATGAGATCTTTATATCAGTATAACACTGCTTTACATTTAATTATATCAATATCAATCGTCACTATATTTCTATTAATAAGTATCGCTTTTTATTTCTCTTGGTTTCAGTTTTTATAAGCATTTATTACTATGTGTCAGTAAGTTGTTGTTTTTTAGCATGCGTGTTTGGCAGTGCTATTTTTTAGGATTACTGATAAACTACTGTCGTTTGATTTGTATTTGTTATTTATTTTAATTTGAGTTCAATTATGTCTGAATTGATTCTGTCTGTATCGGTCTTTTAAGTTTTAGTTTTATTTGAGTTATTTTAATACTTCAACAAACTAAATGGAAATGAAATAATATATATTGAATTTATAAATGTGTATGTGTGTATATATATATGTATGTGTACAAACAACATTGTTGTTTTTGGTGTTTGGCTTAGTGTTGTTAATTATTGTTTTTTTATTTTATTTAAATGTAGTATGTTATGTTAGAATCATTATTGTTATTTATTTTAATTTGAGTTCAATTATGTCTGAATTGATTCTGTCTGTATCGGTCTTTTAAGTTTTAGTTTTATTTGAGTTATTTTAATACTTCAACAAACTAAATGGAAATGAAATAATATATATTGAATTTATAAATGTGTATGTGTGTATATATATATGTATGTGTACAAACAACATTGTTTTTGGTGTTTGGCTTAGTGTTATGTTAATTATTGTTTTTTTATTTTATTTAAATGTAGTATGTTATGTTAGAATCATTATTATACTCATACCTTTTGTTCTTTAATATTTTGAATTGTTTTTAGCTTTATTTTTTGTTTTTCATTTAAATGTTAAGTTTTGAAATTTTGTTGTATGCATTTGTCATTTTTATTTAATCTTTTTATTTTTAAAAGTTTTAGCTTTTAGTTGTTTTAATACTACAGTTGATTGCTTCTGTTTGGAGAAAAGCGTCTAATAAATGACTAAATAAATTTCTCAATCATATGTATTAGTAAGACATTTAAATGCTTCGTTTAATGATCAAAAAATAATAATCAATGCAATGCAATACAATGATTGAGAGATGAACAAATAAATGTTACATTCACCTTTTAAAAATATTTGTTTTAATGATGTCTAGATGATTAGGTAACCCTAAGTTGTGTGCTCATCTTGAAATATTACCAACAATATAAAACCAATTCTCGTATTTGCTTTCTAAAAATCAGATTTCACAGTAAAAACTAAAAAACACGTTAGTACAATAATACTAAAAGACCTTTTAATTGCTAAAACAGTATAAACTATCAATCAGACGACAGAAGGCATGAAGTAGATTGTGTGAAGCAAGCTTCAAATATGATTCAGTAGGAAATTCATTCTTGGAGATGAAAAAGATGATAAAAACCAATGCAACATTCCTATTTAAAGGCTGAAATGTGTTTTATTCTTGAAATTTGCTTGAAAACAATGTTACATTTTGATATAATGACAATCACAGAAGCTAAACCAGATCATATTGATATGCTATAGACCCAGTACTGCATAACTGCATTATTCAGAATGCATGGATATATATATATATATAAAAAAAAAACTCAATATGCAGTGCATAAACATTGTGAAAGGATTCTCATGTTGTAAAGAAGCAACTCTTTGGTCAAAGGTAACAAAGGAATGTAATTATTAGTGTATATAAAAAACTATTTTTTATGGCATATTTATTGCTGATTAGTCAAGACCTCCCATCATCATTCAAGGCGATGAACACAACATAAATAGGTTTGATGGTGCACACCAACCGCAAACAGCGCGAAGAACCAGCTCTGCATCTATTTCAATGTGAAATGAAGACTAAAATAATCAACATTATCTGTACAGCAGGTATGGGATACATAAATATAATACAAGCAGGTTCAATCAGAGTATTCATCCAATGGAGTTGTGTCGGGTCAAAGGTCACCGAACCATCAGGCGGGATGGCTCTCGCTGTCAATGACACATGTGAAGCTTCATGCTGTTGAAGGTGATCGGTCGTCATTTCAGGATCTTCACAGCTGCTTCTCGAATGCACTGCGCTGCTTTCTCCATCTCCTCCTGCGTCTGCTCAACAGTCACGACGACTCTGATGCTGAGGACGCAGATGTGCAAAAACATCAGTTTCACAGCAAAACATGAACTGCTTTTATTGATGGAATAGTTGTCAGCTAATCACCTTGGCGGTGGAAGAAATCGCTCTTCTTTGTCCAGGTATCGAGCCAAAGTGAGCGCGATCTGTCGGTCCAAACTCTACAGGAAGGACAAAAAATACGAGATTCTTTTCAGAGTACTTACACAGCATTTACTGTGCTTTTCAACGTCAACGGGAACTCAAAATGTACATTTTTATATCCTTTCATAAATGCGTGTGATATTATAATTGTTCATTGTAGTTATTAATATAAATACATTTAATTATTTACTGAGCATTGAAGAATCCTACATTGCTGTTTTATTAAATTCCACTTTGCATTGTGCGTCTCAACTACTGATGGACATGTATACAGTGCAGGCTGATTAACGGATTCGCATGTCGAGAAAATTGCATCGCCAGATTTAAAAAAAAAAAACAATCACATTTAGGGTAAATGTTGTGTAGCAATTTCATTTTAATATTGTGAGAATTTCATTTTATGCATATTGGCAACAATGCACTGTAGACGGAAATATCTCTGAAAACCGTTCCTTTTTGGCTGACGTCAGGAATCTCTCTTTTCAAGTCCTTCCGTCCAAACACATACCGTTTAAAAGCTTGGGGTCGAAATCTATAGAAATATATTCAACCATATGCCACGATAACCACAGCTAAGACTACTGACTTGTCTATGATCTGCTGGTGTAACGTACGTAATCGACGATCGCTCGGAGCAGCTTCAGGTCATTTGTTCTGGATCCGGTGCTGTTTTCCAGCAGCAGATGGAGAGCAGGAGTTAAAGGCTCTCCGACCGTCTTCAGCCCTGGAGTCCTGCAAAAACCACCACTGAAATCATCTTGCTGATTAGTCAAGACCTCCCATCATCATTCAAGGCGATGAACACAACATAAATAGGTTTGATGGTGCACACCAACCGCAAACAGCGCGAAGAACCAGCTCTGCATCTATTTCAATGTGAAATGAAGACTAAAATAATCAACATTATCTGTACAGCAGGTATGGGATACATAAATATAATACAAGCAGGTTCAATCAAGAGTATTCATCCAATGGAGTTGTGTCGGGTCAAAGGTCACCGAACCATCAGGCGGGATGGCTCTCGCTGTCAATGACACATGTGAAGCTTCATGCTGTTGAAGGTGATCGGTCGTCATTTCAGGATCTTCACAGCTGCTTCTCGAATGCACTGCGCTGCTTTCTCCATCTCCTCCTGCGTCTGCTCAACAGTCACGACGACTCTGATGCTGAGGACGCAGATGTGCAAAAACATCAGTTTCACAGCAAAACATGAACTGCTTTTATTGATGGAATAGTTGTCAGCTAATCACCTTGGCGGTGGAAGAAATCGCTCTTCTTTGTCCAGGTATCGAGCCAAAGTGAGCGCGATCTGTCGGTCCAAACTCTACAGAAAGGACAAAAAAATACGAGATTCTTTTCAGAGTACTTACACAGCATTTACTGTGCTTTTCAACGTCAACGGGAACTCAAAATGTACATTTTTATATCCTTTCATAAATGCGTGTGATATTATAATTGTTCATTGTAGTTATTAATATAAATACATTTAATTATTTACTGAGCATTGAAGAATCCTACATTGCTGTTTTATTAAATTCCACTTTGCATTGTGTGTCTCAACTACTGATGGACACGTATACAGTGCAGGCTGATTAACGGATTCGCATGTCGAGAAAATTGCATCGCCAGATTTTTAAAAAAAAAACAATCACATTTAGGGTAAATGTTGTGTAGCAATTTCATTTTAATATTGTGAGAATTTCATTTTATGCATATTGGCAACAATGCACTGTAGACGGAAATATCTCTGAAAACCGTTCCTTTTTGGCTGACGTCAGGAATCTCTCTTTTCAAGTCCTTCCGTCCAAACACATACCGTTTAAAAGCTTGGGGTCGAAATCTATAGAAATATATTCAACCATATGCCACGATAACCACAGCTAAGACTACTGACTTGTCTATGATCTGCTGGTGTAACGTACGTAATCGACGATCGCTCGGAGCAGCTTCAGGTCATTTGTTCTGGATCCGGTGCTGTTTTCCAGCAGCAGATGGAGAGCAGGAGTTAAAGGCTCTCCGACCGTCTTCAGCCCTGGAGTCCTGCAAAAACCACCACTGAAATCATCACTCCTGTGATGCACCACACACAACCAGCCAGCACAATGAACATTCAACCGGTGCATGAGGTCAGGAATGACTTCTAGCTCCCGGACATTAATATTGCTCATAATAACATTGATGTTGTTTTCAAAGATCGTTGCATTTTTTTTCTCTCATGGAAAAAAAGGAAGTAAATTGGACTTGCCCTTGTAGTGCTTTGTGCATGTGTTTGCACTTATCCTGCAGAACCCTGAAAATGCCTGAGAGAACATGGGAAAAAAAATACTACAATTAATGTGAAGTTTTGCCCAAAGCATGTTCTACACAAGAGTGAATGCATGTAGTTTAATGAAACTAAACGTCACGTGCTGTTGCATTCAAAAGGAGCGCAAGCATCAGCATCAGCTAGTATCATCATTGATCTGAATAATAACACACACAGTATATTTTAATGGTGCAGACATTTTGAGAAAACGATATGACCCTCTTCAGCACTAAGGTCTGTTACTTAGTGCTTTACACAATTATTAGCATTTTTTAATAAAAAAAAATTCTGATTGGCCAGTAAGTGTCATAAGCACTTATTTTGACATATCTAAATGTGATATTTCAGTTTTTCTTTTTTAATAAATCTGCAAAAATGTCAACAATTCTGTGTTTTTCTGTCAATATGGGGTGCTGTGTGTACATTGAGGAAAAAAAATGTACTTAAATGATTTTAGCAAATGGCTGCAATATAACAGAGTGAAAAATGTAAGGGGGTCTGAATACTTTCCGTACCTACTGTATATTCTTAATTATTTTAGTAAACATTATGTACTATAACTTTACTATCTAGACATTCACATTTACAGGATAAGGGTTTTTACAAACTTTCGGACACAAATTTCAACCTGATTAAATATTTCAGAGCTGAGCATAACTAGAAACATGTATATATTCACTCCAGAAATCTCTATCCTTTAAGACTTATTATATTTCTGTCCCTAGCTGCCGAGATGCATGAGTTGTTAAGAATGTTTCTACGTGGTTGCTTTTGGCCCAAGTCCAAAAGAGCAGAGGATATAGTGGTCCATTGATATGACATGGTTCCCTCGTCAGTCTACAGGATTTTTTTTTCCTTTTAACATCAGCAAAGCAAAAGGTTTTATTCAAACGTCTTAACTAAATGTGACTAATAATGCAAGTGATGTTGGCCTAGCCATAATAATGTCCATTTTTCTATCTGAAAGTATGTCTCAGCGTGTATATATGTATATACAAGGAGGTAGATTTAGCAAATCCTAAATGCTAATGATATACTAAATGAGTGAAGAAGGTAAAATGCATTTGTTTTTGTGAATGTAAATGTAAATGTTGTTACCTGGATCTTCCTCCATGATGTTGAGGGCTTCAATAGCAGCAGAGGCCAGCATGGGTGGAAGAGACGCTGAGAAGCAGTAACCCTGACCCGACAGACGCTGACAACATCAAAAACACACATTCACGTTCATTTCTGAGTGTAATAATTGTGGGAAACAGAAAATCTACTTTAGAAGGATCCATCTGGATTTGTGATTTTCACAAAGGCTATACAACATGTTATTGTATTTAAACAAAACTCTGTGGGCCATGAGACGTTCGGAGACAGTGGTACCTGGTGGAAAAACTATGCAAGCCACTGAATTGTGAGATATAAAGATGTAATTGCGAGAAAAAAGTCAGAACTGCAGGTTTATATCTAGCAATTCTGAAAACAAAAACAAAAAAGTCAGAATTTTGAGATAAAAAGTTGCAATATCCTTTTTTAATAAAAAAAAAACTAAATCAGTGGTGGAGCTGGGCTTCCATAAAAAAATTGGTAAAATGATCTAAAATTATAAATATGCTTATAAGTTTCCATGCCGAGTCGAACAATACCACATTCATCAAGGACAGCATTATGATCAGTCCATTTGAAAAAGATCATTAAATACTGGATCTTTGTAACAATTTCAAACTTATTTATGCATCTTCGGAAAAGAAAAAAAAAAAAAAAAAACTTTTGGTACAAATTGTCAAATCTTCACCAAAATTGGACTCTTCTTGATCTTCACACCAAGCTGCAGGTTATCGCAGTAAGTTATTGATTTTTGAGTCTTAAGGGTCATTTTTCAAAGTAATTAGGCAATAAGATGGACCGTGTCAGTGCCAAACAAGGGCCTTTAATCCTCTGCCGTATTAAAATATTTCTTTATAATGTTTTAAGGAATTGTACGTTTTTTTGGTTACACTTTATTTTAAGGTGACTTTGTTACTGTGTAGTTATACATTTAAGTACCGAGTAATATTAATTAACTACATGTACTTACTATATGGTTAGGATTAGGATTACTTGCATGTAATTATGCATAATCTTGGTCTTGTAATTGCTGCTTGCTACTATGCTTATCATTATGTATTTCAAGACTTTAACAGTTCTGAAGTTTCCACAGCAACTGTTTTCTCATCAGTGAAAGTAGGGCTGGACGATTATGACAAAAATCATAATTGTCGATTATTCCCTTGAAATTGTAATTGCGATTATTAATTACGATTATCACAATTTACATTGAATGATCTTTATACCATTGTTTGATGCAACTGCATGCTGTATTTTTATATGAAAATAAACATGTTGAAAACCCTTTAGTGCTTTTCTATAGTATTAAGCATCAAATGTCAACTACACATCAGATTGGTTTCTTCTTTAAATTATAAAAAAAGTACAAATATGAATGGTATTATAATGTTATGCTAAAACTAAAACAATGGAAAAACCTTTAAGATAACATGTAGAAAGAAAAAAACATACCTTAAGCGTGCAGAATAACATAAGTGGACTTTGAAATTATATTAATTGTGCAGCCCTAAGTGAAAGCGACTGTAAGAAAATCTGCAAACGCTGCTCAGATTATTGACGCTCCACATGCATTTAAATAGAGCGTGTGGATTCACTTCCTTCACATCATTAAAGGGAAGAATGAATCTGATATGATCCGTGTGATTCGCAATTCAAGTTATGCCAAAGTCAAATAAAACTTATATGTAAAGAGGATGGCATAAAGCATCATACAGTAACTCAAGTAAAGTGACGTCTTATCAGAAGATTCCTGTCGATTACACCTGTAGATCGATTGCTCTGTTCCGAAACAGGGATTACAATTATTACAATGTTGCTTTTCATTCTCGGTGCGGTACGCTTTCACACGGCAAAGTTTCTAAACGGACCAAATTTGTTAACACAAGTCACGCGCGAGTAAACGGTTCTCTCATTGGTCAAAGTTCCACGGTTTATTTTCCAGGATTCCACTCAGCTGTCACGGCTGTCATCCGTCAGCTGTTCTTATATTAATTTATCATTTTGAGCAGGAGTCCAGGATTCATCGGGGGAAACATTTTTTAAATGCACCTACTAGGAAGAAGAGCAATAAGACGGCATTATAAAATGAAAAAGTGTGCTTTTTTATTTTGAATGGCGAAGACGTGCTCACCCACAGACATTCACAGGTTCATTTTGAGGTATTAGCAAAACAAAGCTGATGTTTTCACGGCACTTACGTAATTACCCATTATTCATTGTGATATAGCCTGGTTCGTTGTTCCGTTAGATCGGATTGCTTTCTCACTACAACCAAACCGCTCCAGAGTTCGTTTTCAATCGAACCGAGACCACCTCGTTCAGGCGATCTCGGACCGATTGTTTTGACATGGATCCGAGTGCGATTGCCGTGTTCACATATGCCCAAACGAACCGAGCTAAGGGGGAAACATGCCAGGTTCTGAAACAACAGCCCAGGTGTGAAAGCACTTTTGGTGCGCACCCGGGTTCGATTGACGTCAGAGTTCGGTTCGTTTGGATGATGTGTACCCGAGTCCGCTTTAAAAGGGTGGTCTGGGGTACGGTTCAAGTCAACTCCGGTACGGTTCGCTGCTGATGTGAACGCAATCGTACCAAAACACGGAAGTGAACCGCTATTAATGACGTATTATTTGATAAAAATGTGTGTTTCACTCACTTTCCTGACGAGCGTGACTGACGCGCTGCAAGCAGAGAGCTGTATATCTCATTTCTGTTCACCTTCAGAGTACTTTAGAGCATTTG